TAATGTTAATAAGACCCACCTGCAATGCCCAGTAAGTTCCACCCATTAAAGCCAAAAAGCTAATAAATAAACAGAAGACATTAAAATTGAAATCTGATGCCTGTAATGCCAAGCAGAACCTGGCAAAGCCCTTATAAAACCCCATTTAGCTCAAAATATCATACTTGTCCATGGAAGTTGACAACCTTAAACATTTCAGAGAACATGGGAAACATGAGTACATTCACTGAGAAGCTTGAAAAGATGCTTATTCAAGCTCTAAATGAGCATTTAGAAGGTATTGAAGGAAAATCATATTCTAAATTCAGTCTGCATCCCCTACTGACCTCTCTCTAATGCCTACACAACACTAGCTTCAGCATATAAAGTTCGTGCTATTGATTTCTTGTCTGTTGATTCTGAAATAGATCTAAACAAGTTAGAAGCTTTTGACATGAGCAGGACCAGTGCTGCATATTCTTTGTTACTTGCAGGCACAACTCATAATCTCTTCAACTCCGAATCCTCATTGATTGCTTCTGTTGCAAATTTTTGAACAGGTGCTGGCGAATCTTTGTTATCTCTTACCAGAAGTTCAGGGTGGAGTTTGTTTGTTATATTGGGTCTGGTTGTTTCAAACCTAGCTTCTGTAACGAAGTTCAAGTGCTCTAAGTGTTCATTAGTGGATGGATTTAGAGCCTGGATATCAAATGGTCAAATTATAAGTGCAGATTTTTAGAATGTATCAAGTGATTTTCTTCATTTTGTCTCATATATTACATATATTACATAGAAAGTTTGGAGTTTCCTTGTCCATGATTGCTATTTTTTGAGATCATGTTAAGATCCTATCTATTTCGGCTGGTTAATGTCTACCAAAAATTCCAGTACAGTGGATGTTGGGGCTCATGTTAACAAAACTGAAATGTGTTACACTCGTGAGTCTGGTTTTTTGAAAAGTCTAAAATTTGTACGATGATTATTGTGCAAATAACATATCTTTTGTATGTATTGACAAGCGGCGTTGAGAGCCTTGAATCAATTACAAATCTCTAGCAAGTTCTTGTGTCTTTTAAAATCTTACACAAGTGAACAAATATAAAACTCTGCTAGGAATCATCTATGCAACCAGCAATAATAACTCGTAGAAAGTTTTCCATCTTCATTTTTGTCCCAAATTTTAGGGGTGATCCCTAACCTTCTTTTGTCCCGCCACTTCTTAGAGGGATAGGCAATGTGTAGTGACTAGATCTGAGAAGAGTTTCAAAAAGAAGAGAATTCTAGAGGGAAGGAGAATAGAGAGAGAAATTGTCAAAGCTTTTCGTAATTTTCATTTCCACCCCTCTTGGGCTATTAATACTTTCTCAGATTACATTGTTTTCTTTACTGCCATTTTCTAGTTATAACAACTTAACACATCAAACTGGACTATCAACAATAGACTGCTAAGTGAGTGGGTCTTCTCCTTATTCGTTTGGGCTTATCCTCATTAAGCCCAACATTACCCTCCCCATGAGTACCGGCCTCATCCTCGAGGCCCATACCCTCAATAATCGAGGGGGTGACATCGTGAGAAGGATCTGGAACGTCGGTGGGAAACAGCTGTTGGTGACGTGACGTAGGGACAGCTGGCGGCATTGGATGCTGTGGGGAAGAGATAAAAATCCGCATATCTCCAATCTGATTGGAGGGAAAAGCAGTGGGGTCAGATAAGTGGGGTGAGACATTAATGAGGGGTAGCTACTGTCTGTCTTGGTCAGATAAGTGGGGTGAGACATTAATGAGGGGCATCATTTGATTGTCTTGTTCAACGTTCGATGTGAGCAAAGAGGAAGCCTTTGTAAGCGAATCCGAGAGCACCAGAGAAGCATCCTCCCAAGTGGAGTCTTCTTGTAATAAACCCTCCCACAGAACCAACACCTGTTGAACTTGCCTGTCATTTCTCCAAATGGTACGTTGAGAGAGGATAGCGGCCGGAACATGGGACGGAGGAATGCTACGGGTAGTAGCTGCTAACTCATGGATTTTGTAAGCGCCTGTAGAATAGAAAGGGCGCAAGAGTGAAGCATGGAATACAAGATGTACCCTCGAACCGGAAGGAAGTTGGAGGCGGTAGGCAACACTGCCTATCCTTTCTAAAATCTCAAAAGGCCCATAAAAATGCAAACTAAGTTTATGTGTGGACCAACGGTGAACGGAAAGTTGACGAAAGGGTTGAAGACGGAGCAGGACTTGATCTCCGGTACTAAAGGTAATAGCTTTACGTTTACGATCCGCCTGTGATTTCATCTGGACTCGTGTCTTTTTTAAATGTTGCTTTAAAGATGCGAGGATCACCGACCGTTGGAGTAGATCAGTCTCAACCGCATCAACCGGAGTGGATCCCAGAGTATACTCGAGCAGACATGGTGGGGCTCTGCCGTAGGTGGCCTGAAAGGGATATGTACCCGTGGAGCGATTGTGAGCAGTATTGAAGTTAAATTCTGCCCAGCTCAAGAAGCGGTGCCAACTAGAGGGATTTTCGTGCACAAAACAACGTAAATACTGTTCCAGACTGCGATTGACGCGCTCCGTTTGCCCGTCGGACTGAGGGTGGTACGCGGAGCTGTAGTGCAAGGTGGTACCTTGCAACGAGAAAAACGTCTTCCAGAACTCACTGAGGAAGATGGGATCACGGTAACTAATAATGGACTTGGGGTTTCCATGGAGTTTGCTCACGTTGTCCCAGAAAACTTGAGCAACTTTGGAGGCAGAGTACTTGGGGGGCAGAGGTGCAAAATGAGCCCCTTTTGTTAATCTGTCCACCACGACCAGGATGCTGGTGAATCCTGCCGACGAAGATAGATGAGTTACAAATTCCATCGAGAGATCGGACCAGATAGCATCAGCGATGGACAAGGGTTGTAATAGACCATAAGGTAAGTGGGAAGGGGCTTTAGATTTTTGACAAATTTTGCAATTTTTGACGAATTGCTGAACGTCATGTGTAATTGTCTTCCAGGTGAAATTGGTGCTCAACCTCAACAGTGTGCGGCGAACGCCAGTGTGGCCTCCAATATTGGAAGAGTGAAAGTCGTGAAGTAAAACTGGGATCATGGAAGACTTGGCAGGAAGGAACAGTCGTCGCCGATGGAACAACAGTCCATTGTGGAGTCTCCACTGAGGCCAGTGAGAAGGCTCAGTTTGTAGTCCTTGTAAAATATGAGTAGCATAGGCATCTGTCTGTAACTCAGACTGTATTATTGGACCATATTGAGAAGTAGGAACACTGAAAGCCATTAACGTCGGGGAATGGTGTACATGATCCCCCTCAGTCTGACGTGAAAGAGCGTCGGCTACTGTATTCGCTTTTCCCGGTTTATACTGGATGGAGAAGTTGAATCCCAACAATTTGGCAAGGAATTGTTGTTGATCGGGTGTTTGAATCACCTGAGACATCAAGTGATGGAGACTTTTATGATCCGTCTTAATGATAAAGCACGACCCCAATAAGTATTGTCTCCACTTTGCCACTGCGGAAGTGATGGCAAACATTTCCCGGAGATAGGTAGACTTAGCTTGCATGAGTTTAGACATTTTGTGACTGAAAAAAGCAATGGGTTGGTTCTCTTGCAGAAGAACGACCCCTACCCCAACTCCTGAGGCATCAGTCTCTAAGAAAAACGGCTTTGAGAAGTCCGGTAAAGCTAATACAGGAGCATGAGTAAGTAACTGTTGTAAAGCCGTAAAAGCCTGTGTAGCCCCACTAGACCAAACAAACGCATCTTTAACCAATAAATCAGTAAGTGGAGCTGCCACCATCGCATACCCTTTAATGAAGCGGCGGTAGTATCCTGATAACCCCAAGAAAGCTCTTAGCTGAGTCACATTTGTAGGAATAGGCCAAGCATTTATGGCTAGCACCTTAGATGGATCAGGGGATACACCTGCAGCTATAATAATATGCCCTAAAAACTGAATTTCCTGCACATCAAACGCACACTTCGTAAGCTTAGCAAAGAATCGGTGGTGACGGAGGACTTGGAGAACTGGCAACAAGTGGTTCTCATATTCCTATAAGGTGGAACTGTAGACGAGAATGTCGTCAAAAAAAATGACAACAAAACGTCTTAAGAGGCCTGTGAAAACATGATTCATGGTGGCCTGGAATGTAGAGGGGGAATTGGATAGCCCAAAAGGCATCACCAGAAACACAAAATGCCCATTATGAGTTCGAAAGGCCGTCTTGTGTATATCAGCTGGGGCCATTTTGATTTGGTGGTAGCCGGATCTAAGATCCAACTTGGAGAAGATGTGAGCTCCATGCAATTCATCTAGTAATTCATCCACTATAGGAATAGGAAACTTATCAGGCACCGTAATAGCATTGAGGGCACAATAGTCCACACAAAAGCGCCAAGTACCATCTTTTTTGCGGACTAATAAGACTGGAGAGCTAAAGGGTGACTGACTTGGTTGGATCAAGCCACTCTCCAACATTTCACTGACCATCTTCTCAATTTCGGATTTCTGGAAATGAGGGTATCTGTAAGGCTTAACTTGGACCGGTTTGGATGTAGGTAAAAGGTGAATGTGATGATTGGAGGATCGGTCAAAAGGTAAGGATGTAGGAACTTGGAAAACATCGTGAAATTGGTGTAGAATGGTTTGGATAGATGGTAGGATCCAGATTCCCCCTGAAAATCCAACAACCTTCTGTTTAAAGAAGTTACGGAAACCAAGCTGCTTGATAATCCCATCACCCTTCGAACCACTAATTCTAGTTTCTAATAGAACCAAAACATCAATTTTAAATCGAAATTTCAGATCTCTAATGAGGGTAGCAAAGCCCTTTTTTCCTACCCCTCTAAAGTTCCACATACAAACAGACATAAAGCAAATTATGATACAAAAAAGGGAAAAATTTCCTAAGAACCTGAACTGAAACAAGTTAGGAATTTGAAACTCCCAAACAAGGAGTAGATACCTCAGCAGCCTACTCAACTTGGTTCTGGTTAGGAGAATTAGGATGATCACTAGATTTAGATCCTTTCCCTTTTTTTCCCTTCCTGATTAATCAATCCATCAACCCTATCTTTCACCCCAAAAGGAGCTTTCCCATTTTCCTTCATTCTGCTAGCTGCCTTATAAGGGCCTTCCAATATAGTATTAGGAGACTTGTTTTCAGTCCCAATTTTTTTTTGCAAAGGACTAGAAGGACCCCTACCTTTCTCCTTCCCATCTTTAGGGGGAATTTTCCTAGCTTTGCCCTTTGTCCCCTTCATTCTCCTCTGATTACCAGAGCTAATCAAACCAGCCAAGCCCACCAAAGGATACTGTAATTTCCCCTCCTCCTTAGATTGAGCATCAATCTCCAATGATATTGGAGTCTCACCTCCTTCTTTACTTAAAACCTCCTTAGGATGATCCTCCTTATTTCCCCCTAGAACAACCTCACCCTTACCTTCATCTATGTTCTTAGCCGGGACAACCTTTAATTTTCTTCCTCTAGTTTGCCTCTGAATCACCATCCCGTCACCAAATGCCTCACTGTGATTCTTCTCTACCTTAGGCTGTTCGTTATTGTTGGTACCCTTAATAACAGGTCCTTCTCTTCCAATTTCCTTCTGAACCTCCTGCTGACTACTATTAGAACACTGGTCTTTCCTATGTCCATACACTCCACACTTGAAGCAAATCAAATGAAGGCCTTCATAGCCTACCTGGAAAGTCTATCACCTATTTTGAATTTGGACAGGAAGTTCTTCCTTAGGTCCTCCTCTACACATAAACGAGCAAACCTTTCCCTCTCTGTGACGACTTCAAGGCCAGAATCACTTTTGTGAAGAGAATTTCTATCCACTTTAAGTGTCCTCCCAAATATATTCCCAATTTTCCAAAGGTGATGTGCTGTATACAATCCAATAGGGAGACTAGGAATCCTGATCCACACTGCCATCCTCTTAACTTGATCATCAAAGGGGTCAAAGAAAGGCCTCCATCTCTGAACCACTACATAATGGTCATTCACTATTCATGGACCCTCTTCTAGGACATGCCGGTAGTCATTATCATCTTGGAACCTCAGCAAAAGGTAGCCTTTCTCCAGATCGATTAGTTCAAAAGAGCTAACCAGGTTCCACTGTCTCTGAAGCCTAGCCATCAGGAATCTAGTAGCTATCCTCTTGCCCAACAACTTGATAATAAGTGCTTTACGCCATTGTATACAATCTTCCTTGTGTTGAGCCTTTGAGATGTGATAAGTCGGACAGAGTGGATCCTCCGAGAGCCCCTGGGCACCCTCATCCATAATATCGTCCTCTTCCTCCTCCCTCTTTTGCTTGGTCAGCCAATCCTCCTCCTCGCTATCCGATACTTCTCCACCGTTCAACTTTAATAACTTATCCTTATACGAAACCACCTTGCATCGTGAGCTGCTGGAAGACATCTCTCCTCTGTTCTCTGTATGCATGGCTTTCTCAAGAGATAGATCAACTCCCTCCTCACCATTCTCCAGCATCTGATCATCCATGCTGAGATCTTCCACTGTATCACCCTTCAGTTTCTTACCACATCTGAGACGCAGCTCCTCTTCCTCCGTCAACCTTTTCCTTCCTCCCTTCCCTCCGTCAACCTCCACAGAACCTCGATTCAGACTCTTCTCATCATCCATAGCTTGAAACAAGAACAGAAAACGAAGAAAATTTCCCAGAAAACCCCAAAACCTAGCAGAGAAAAAAAAAAGATTGCGCGCGTGAAGTTACGCGCCTAACCCATTACAACATATATCCTATCTCTAATACTTATTACTGAACATCGAAGACATACAGTTAAGAAAATTTAAGATACAACACAACAATATAAAAGATTTGATATGTTTTATGAAAATGAATTATTGCAAATTTATTCCCTTAAAATGATGACTAATTCTACGCAGGATACCTGTTGAAGTTTGAAAGCAACATCTTCTTCACCTTTGCTAGTTGTCAGCTTTGAAAATAGTCTCTTGCTGTTCTTCCATAACTTTCTTTTGCATTAAGACTTGTGGGATAACATGACTCCATATTTTTTATGGGACCACATCTAACGTAAAAATAATTCATTACTTGTATATATAAATATCGTTTTGCTTAATAATTTAGTGCTATCATTATATTATTCTAATGACACTCTATTAAACCAAATGTTTAATTAGTTGCTCACTTACTAATCAGCAAAAGATTAAGCATGAACTACGTTAGCCGAGCTTACAAGAAAACGTTATATTCTTTATGAATGTGATTATATGCAAATGATGGAATCCTTGGACGATAACGATATATCCTGTGCCAAAGTTGATGATGCTTAATTTGACTCTAAGAACTCCCATATTAAAATACGCTAACCATGCCATGTTGATTTGTTATCATAGGGAATGTCAGGAGCCTTTTGACATAACTAACTTAAGGTCTGACCTAATCAATTAGACAGAAAAAAAAAAAGATTTGTAAGATAATCTATTTGATTAAACAAGATAGGTTTCATGTATTTGAAAAAGCCTTTTAATAATAGAAATGATCTTATAAACTTATTTTTCTTATCTAAAAGGCCTAGCATTATTAGTACATCAATAAATTTCAGGGTAGATTAAACTTTAAAAAGAATTTGGTCAAACCTAAATAAAAAGTCAATATCAGGGGATACATGTAACGTCAAATGCTATGTTTACAAAAATGAGAAGGCAATATATCAAAAAGAAAAAAAGAGAAGGCGTATTTAAGGCAGAGCTTGAACTGATTTATCTCGTTTTCATCACAAATAAAAATAAATCACTCAAAAATTTCGTACAAGATATATTAATGAAATAAAAATAAAAAACATAAAATATAAAATGAAATAAATGAGATAAATAGGTAAAAATAAAAATAGATGAAAATAAAAATAATTATATTTTAATAAACATTTGTTACGATGCGAAGATCCTATAGGATTAAGAGAAGATCAATCTGTTTGGATGACTATGTAGCATAAGTGTCATATGATATAATTCGGTAGCTATACAGCTGTCAGGTAGTTAGTGGTAAGGGACAGGTGTAATACAAAGTTAGTGATAAAGGATAGGTGTAATACAAATAGTGTAATTTAACATGATCATGTCACGTGGGAGGATCTTAACCATTAATAATTAAATCAACAGTGATGATTTTGTAACTTCCTATCTTTATATTTTTTTTCTCTTCTCCCTTATCCCCATTAACTCATCCATATATAGTTATGATGGCTTTACATGACATAATTGTGTTAATTAGCACATGAGAAGATCTATAAGAATGTAAGATTGTTTTTGAATCAGTTTTTCCTTTATCTTTGACTCAGTTTTTCTCGTTTTCCCTGCCAATTAGGATCCATATTCTAAGAACATTCTAGTAGAAACAACGTACAAGATCCATCCATTTCTATATATAGAATCAAAGTATAATACTTCTAAAGTAGTTTAATCTTTCTTAAAAATTATATTTTTCCTATTTTCAATTTTAAAATTCAAATTCTTTTACATTAATTATGTATAGGGTTTTATGTTTATCATTTAACATAATATAACTTCACTTTCCTACACACATTAAAGAGGTGGGGTCCACATGTTTTTCTTTCTCTTTCATCATTCTACTTTCTCTCTCCCTTTTGATGTGAAAGTTGAAAACGACACTTACATTATGTTACATAACACTAATAAAACCCGTATGTATATCTTGTTTTAATATTCAATATTTGAGTTTAATTTTAAAGTGCTACTTGGATTAGTTACGGATGCATCTTTTGGAAAAAAATAATTTAATTTTTATTTTTATTTTATCTTAATCTGAAAGTACGTATACAATGTATTTACCAAAAGAAAGTACTAAAAGTACTTATAAAGTGTGATAGATTTTCACTAAGTACTAACGACAATGAAGCAATGCCGTTTTGTTTATGCATCTACCATTACTCAACGTCTTCAATTAATAATAATAATAATAATAATAATACTAATAATAATAATAATAATAATAATAATAAAAGCCAACTGAATCTGGCCCTTATAGGAAAATACGAGAATGATGATGCTGATAATAATAAGAAGAGATCTGTTTGACTATGGAATTAGTGTGTTAAATAGGAAAATATTTTTAGTGTTATAGAATTATTTATGACTTTAATGTTTCTAAAGTGAATGTAGATAAGTTATCTATATTCGCTCTTAAAACGACGTCGTTTTGAGTTGAAAAATTAAAAAATTATAATAAAAAAGATTATTATAACCCTGAAATAAGTTATAAATACAAAATACCTTGATTTCCGTCTTAAAATGACGTCGTTTTGATCTCACTCTAGATAAATTATCTAAATTGACGGTATAAAAAGTGAACTCATTATTTATTATTGGATATATTTTTTTATGAAGTATGAAAAAAAAATTATTCATTTATGGTAGTTCCGTAGTTGTATCGCTGGTCCCATCAATCCCACAAAAGTATGTTTTGTTATTGAAGTATGTTTTTCTCATGTTACATGACATAACATATCTCTCGTACTGATACATCAAAAGTTGTGCTAGCATTTATCTATTTTTTTTTTTAAAGAGAGTAGATCTCATATATTTTATGTCTATGACATGAGATAACAAGTCTCGTACAACATGAGACTTGTATTTCCCTTTTGTTATTAATTGGTGGCGGTAATTGTTGGCCCCACTCGCGGTTCATTTCGATACTTGGGGGATTGAAGATTTGAATGCCTTTTCCATGGGGCCCACGCACACAGTCTCACCCGGTAAACCCTTACCAAAGAAGAAAAAACAGCGTGTCAAATAAAAAATAGTCCCTATTAATATAAAATAATATTTTAAATTGAGCAAGGTTATAGTTATAATTTTTTTTACAACCTCTTAAAATAATATCTTATCATCGTTGATTTCCGTCAATCAACAGTTATTATTTTAGCAAATTAAATTTATTAATTAATTTTTAATTCACAATAAATGATAACCGTTGATTGACAAAAATCAACAGTGATAAAATATGATTATAAGAGGTTATAAAAAAAAAGTTATAAGTATAACCTTCCTCTTTAAAATTAAATAAGATATTGTCTTAGTGAGATGTTACGTCTCCTACTTTATGAAGATGTTAAGAAATAAATGAAAAGATATTTGTACCCCTCTACATTTGAAAGATAGAAAACGAAATCAAATGATATCTCTAATTCTTAATTGGACACCACTAGAAACTGTAGAAGACTTTTCTACCCGCTTTGGGAAAATACTCAATTAATCCAAACTTTAAAAATCAAAGACTATAAGTTCAACATAAATTCTAATCTCAATTGGTTCATTTACAAATGAAACCAAATGAAAACAAAGTGAATGAATGGTTACTCATCTGTTTTAATAATAATAAGACAGAGAGGGAAACAAAGTGCCCCACTCGATCCACCAAACAATATTTAGATCGAGAGAGCAAAATGTGTTCTTGTTTTGGCAGATTAGCTTCTGTAGGGACTATGATTGGTATTTGTTTTCAGTTTTTGCTTTTGTTGGGCCTGGCCCCTAAACGTCAGTCAAAGAGAAAGCAACCGAAGCACGTGTAAATTGAATCACTCCCCCTCTAATGTGACGTTCGCATTCATGTTAAACTACATAGTCCCATGACAATTCTTGTTCAACCTGGCCCCACAAAAGAGTGTGTTTATATATGGATTTGAATCCTTTCATATAAATTATAAATTATTTGATTATAATTATTTATTTAAAAATTATATATATATTTCTCTCTTATTTTATTATCAATGAATGATTCTGATTAAATAACATGAATATATAATTTTTTTTTTACAGGATTCATTCCACACTTATGTGTACATGGAAAAAATATTTGATGGCACAGAAGTCAAAATATATATATTTTTTTCGATACCAAGTTAAAATATGGAAAAAGTGTTTAT